CCATAGAACCCCCCCCCATAGCCCCCCACACCCCATAGCCCCCCCACCCCATAGAACCCCCCCATACCCCATAGCCCCACACCCCATAGCCCCCACACCCCATAGAACCCCCCCCACCCATAGAACCCCCCATACCCCATCCCCCACACCCCATAACCCCCCACACCCCATAGAACCCCCCCCATACCCTATACCCCCACACACCCCATAGAACCCCCCCCACCCCATAGAACCCCCCCATACCCCATAGCCCCCACACCCCATGGAACCCCCACACCCCATAGCCCCCACACCCCATAGAACACCCCATAGAACCCCCCCACCCCATAGAACCCCCCCATACCCCATAGACCACACACCCCATAGCCCCACACGCCATAGAACCCCCACACCCCATACCCCATAGCCCCCACACCCCATAGAACCCCCCCATACCCCATAGACCACACACCCCATAGCCCCACACCCCATAGAACCCCCACACCCCATAGAACCCCGCCACCCCCACCCCATAGAACCCCCCCATCCCCCTCTCACCCGCTCCGCGGGGGGGGCAGGCCCTGCAGCGCCGCCCCCACCCCGCCCCCCCCCGGCAGCAGCACTCGTCCAGGGGCAGCGGCCCCGCCCCCAGCGGCGCCCCACAGAGCCCGTCCTCCCCCCGCCGCTGCCAGCACACGTCCCGCCGCGCCGCCAGGGGGCGCTCCGCGGGCACCGACACCGCCGGGGGGCGCTCTGCGAAGGGGGGGGGGCAACGGGGTTTACATTGGGATCAGTGGGGATCAATGGGGATCAATGGGGATCACATTGGGATCAATGGGGTCAATGTGGATCAATGGGGCTCACATTGGGATCAATGGGGATCAGTGGGGATCACATTGGGATCAATGGGGATCACATTGGGATCAATGGGGTCAATGGGGATCAATGGGGTCAATGGGGTTTACATTGGGATCAATGGGGATCAATGGGGATCACATTGGGATCACATTGGGATCAATGGGGATCACATTGGGATCAATGGGGATCAATGGGGATCACATTGGGATCAATGGGGTTTACATTGGGATCAGTGGGGATCAATGGGGATCAATGGGGATCAATGGGGATCAATGGGGATCAATGGGGATCAATGGGGCTTACACTGGCATCAGTGGGGATTACATTGGGATCAGTGGGGATCAATGGGGATCAATGGGGTCAATGGGGATCAATGGGGATCAATGGGGATCAATGGGGTCAATGGGGATCAATGGGGATTACATTGGGATCAGTGGGGATCAATGGGGTCAATGGGGATCAATGGGGTTTACATTGGGATCAATGGGGATCAATGGGGATCAATGGGGATCACATTGGGATCAATGGGGATCAATGGGGTCAATGGGGATCAATGGGGATCAATGGGGATCAATGGGGTCAATGGGGATCAATGGGGATCAATGGGGATCAATGGGGTCAATGGGGTCAATGGGGTTTACATTGGGATCAGTGGGGATCAATGGGGTCAATGGGGATCAATGGGGTTTACATTGGGATCAGTGGGGATCACATTGGGATCAATGGGGATCAATGGGGATCAATGGGGATCACATTGGGATCAATGGGGATCAATGGGGATCAATGGGGTTTACATTGGGATCAATGGGGATCAATGGGGTCAATGGGGATCAATGGGGGTCAATGGGGATCAATGGGGATCAATGGGGGGAATGGGATCAATGATCAATGGGGATCAATGGGGGGCAATGGGGATCAATGGGGATCAATGGGGATCAATGGGGATGGGGGGGAACAATGGTGGGGATCAATGGGAATCAATGGGGATCAATGGGGATCAATGGGGTTTACATTGGGATCAATGGGGATTACATTGGGATCAGTGGGGATCAATGGGGATCAATGGGGATCAATGGGGATCAATGGGGATCAATGGGGTTTACATTGGGATCACATTGGGATCAATGGGGTCAATGGGGATCAATGGGGTTTACATTGGGATCAATGGGGATCAATGGGGCTCACATTGGGATCAATGGGGATCAATGGGGATCACATTGGGATCAGTGGGGATCAATGGGGATCAATAGGGTTTACATTGGGATCAATGGGGATCAGTGGGGATCACATTGGGATCAATGGGGCTTACATTGGGATCAATGGGGTCAATGGGGATCACATTGGGATCAATGGGGTCAATGGGGATCAATGGGGATCAATGGGTATGAATGGAGTCAATGGGATCAATGGGGATCAATGGGGGTCAATGGGGTTTACATTGGGATCAATGGGGATCGATGGGGACCACATTGGGATCAATGGGGATTACATTGGGATCAATGGGGATCAATGGGGTCAATGGGGATCACTGGGGCTCACATTGGGATCAATGGGGATCAATGGGGATCAATGGGGGGCAATGGGGGTCAATGGGGATCAATGGGGTCAATGGGGATCAATGGGATCAATGGGGTTCAATGGGGATCTATGGGGCTCACATTGGGATCAGTGGGGATCAATGTGGATCAATGGCGCTCACATTGGGATCAATGGGGCTCAATGGGGATCACATTGGGATCAATCGGGCGCTCATGGGCATCAATGGCGCTCAATGGGATCAATGGCACTCAATGGGGCTCACATGGCACTCAATGGCGCTCAATGGGATCAATGGCATCAATGGGGCTCAATGGGCTCACATTGGGCACTCAATGGGGCTCAATGGCACTCAATGGCGCTCAATGGGGCTCAATGGCACTCAATGGGGCTCAATGGCACTCAATGGCACTCAATGGCGCTCAATGGCGCTCAATGGGGCTCAATGGCACTCAATGGTGCTCAATGGCGCTCAATGGGGCCCAATGGTGCTCAATGGCGCTCAATGGGGCTCAATGGCACTCAATAGGGGTCAATGGCACTCAATGGGGCTCAATGGCGCTCAATGGGGCTCAACGGCACTCAATGGCGCTCAATGGCACTCAATGGCACTCAATGGGGCTCAATGGCACTCAATGGGGCTCAATGGCACTCAATGGGGCTCAATGGGGCTCAATGGCACTCAATGGCACTCAATGGAGCTCAATGGGGCCCAATGGAGCTCAATGGTGCTCAATGGGGCTCAATGGCGCTCAATGGGGCTCAATGGAGCTCAATGGGGATCAACGGAGCTCAATGGGGCTCAATGGTTGTCAATGGGGCTCAGTGGAGCTCAACAGAGCTTAATGGCGCTCAAGGGGGCTCAATAGGGCTCAATGGCGCTCAATGGCGCTCAATGGCGCTCAATGGCGCTCAATGGCACTCAATGGGGCTCAATGGCGCTCAATGGCACTCAATGGGGCTCAATGGCACTCAATGGGGCTCAATGGCACTCAATGGCGCTCAATGGCGCTCAATGGCGCTCAATGGCACTCAATGGCGCTCAATGGCGCTCAATGGGGCTCAATGGCGCTCAATGGCGCTCAATGGCACTCAATGGCACTCAATGGCACTCAATGGCGCTCAATGGTGCTCAATGGGGCTCAATGGCGCTCAATGGCGCTCAATGGCGCTCAATGGCACTCAATGGCACTCAATGGCGCTCAATGGCACTCAATGGCACTCAATGGCGCTCAATGGGTCTCAATGGCGCTCAATGGGGCTCCCCCCCCTCCCATGGGTCTGGCCCAGTTTTCACGTCCCCCCACTGACCGTGCTCGGGGGGGGGCAGGCAGCGGCGCTGGGGGGGGTGGTAGCGGGTGCCGGGGGGGCAGGAGCACCGGAACGACCCCCGCGTGTTCTCGCAGGCCCCGTCCACGCAGTTGGACTCGTCCAGGCACTCGTCCACGTCTGGGGGGCGGGGGGGAGGGGGGGGGAGGGACCCCGGGGAGCGCCATGGGCATGTGGCCCCATAGAACCCATAGAATCCATGGCCCCATAGAACCCATAGAACCCATGGCCCCATAGAACCCATAGCCCTCATAGAACCCATAGCCCCCATAGCCCCATATCCTCCATGGCCCTCCACAGTCCCCATAACCTCCCAATAGCCCCATAGCCCCCATAACCTCCCATAGCCCCACAGCCCCCATAGCTCCCAATAGCCCCATAGCCCCCAATAGCCCCACAGCCCCCATAGCCCCCATAACCTCCCATAGCCCCCATAACCTCCCATAGCCCCACAGCCCCCATAGCCCCCATACCCCCATAGCCCCCCATAGCCCCCATAGCCCCACCCCCCATAGCCCCCCATACCCCCATACCCCCCACCCCCATAGCCCCCAATACCCCCACAGCCCCCCATAGCCCCACAGCCCCCATAGCTCCCAATAGCCCCATAGCCCCTATAACCTCCCATAGCCCCACAGCCCCCATAGCCCCCCATAGCCCCCAATACCCCCATAGCCCCCATAGCCCCATAGCCCCCATAGCGCCCCATAGCCCCACATACCCCCATACCCCATAGCCCCCCATACCCCCATAGCCCCCCATACCCCCATAGCCGCCCATACCCCCACAGCCCCCCATACCCCCATACCCCCATAGCCCCCCATACCCCCATTCCCCCCATACCCCCCCATTGCCACATACCCCCCCATACCCCCATAGCCCCCCATACCCCCATACCCCCCCATAACCCCACAGCCCCACAGCCCCCAATACCCCCACAGCCCCCCATACCCCCATACCCCCCATACCCCCATAGCCCCCCATACCCCCACATCCCCCCATACCCCCATATCCCCCCATAGCCCCACAGCCCCCATAGCCCCCAATACCCCCACAGCCCCCCATACCCCCACAGCCCCCCATACCCCCACAGCCCCCATACCCCCCCATAGCCCCCAATACCCCCATACCCCCACAGCCCCCCATACCCCCACAGCCCCCCATAGCCCCCAATACCCCCACAGCCCCCATACCCCCCCAGCCCCACAGCGCCCCCCATCTCCTCACCGAGGCACTGCAGGACGGCGCTGTCGTAGTCGAAGCCCTGCTTGCAGTAGCACTCGTAGCCCGGCTGCGTGTTCACGCACTTCCCGTCCTTGCAGATCTCGGGCCCGAAGAGCCCGCACTCATCGATGTCTGCGGGGGGAGCCCGGCCCCACGGCTCAGAGCCCGCTATGGGGCAGGAGGGGACCTGCAGGCCCGCGGAGCGCCACGGCGCGGGGACCCACAGAGACCCACACACCACATAGACCCACGGAGCCCCACAGAGCCCATAGAGACCCATGGAGCCCCACAGAGCCCATAGAGACCCACACACCACATAGACCCACGGAGCCCATAGAGCCCATAGAGACCCACACACCACATAGACCCACGGAGCCCATAGAGCCCATAGAGACCCACACACCACATAGACCCACGGAGCCCATAGAGCCCATAGAGACCCACACACCACATAGACCCACGGAGCCCATAGAGCCCATAGAGACCCATGGAGCCCCACAGAGCCCATAGAGACCCACACACCACATAGACCCACGGAGCCCATAGAGCCCATAGAGACCCATGGAGCCCCACAGAGCCCATAGAGACCCACACACCCCAGAGACCCACAGAGCCCCACAGCGCGGAGGCCCGTAGAGACCTACACACCCCCATTGACCCACAGAGCCCCACAGCGCAGAGCCCCACAGAGCCCATAGAGACCCACAGAGCCCCACAGCGCAGAGACCCACAGAGACCCACACACCACATAGACCCACGGAGCCCCACAGCGCGGAGGCCCATAGAGACCCACACACCCCAGAGACCCCCAGAGCCCCACAGCGCGGAGACCCACAGAGACCCACACACCACATAGACCCACGGAGCCCCACAGCCCAGAGACCCACAGAGCCCATAGAGACCCACACACCCCAGAGACCCACAGAGACCCACAGCGCGGAGACCCACAGAGACCCACACACCACATAGATGGGGGGGTCCCGGGGGGTTCAATGGGGGGGTCCCGGGGGGCTCAGATGGGGGTCCGGGGGGGGGGGCTCTGAAGGGGGGGTCCCGGGGGGGGTCTGAAGGGGGGGTCCCAGGGGGGCTCTGAAGGGGGGGTCCCAGGGGGGCTCTGAAGTGGGGGTCCCGGGGGGGGGCTCTGAAGGGGGGTCCCGGGGGTTCAATGGGGGGGGTCCCAGGGGGGCTCTGAAGGGGGGGTCCCAGGGGGGGCTCAGATGGGGGTCCCGGGGAGGGGGGGGGGGGGCTCTCACCGCGGTGCGCAGGGACCCCAAAGTCGACGCCGTTGTCGTCCTGGATGAATCCCTTCCCATCCGGACACAGCGCCAGGAACTCAGCTGGGGGGGGCACAGGGGGGGGGGCTGCACCCAAACCTGCCCCAGACCCACATGGGGTGGGTGCAGCCCCCATGGGGGCCCCGGACCCACTGAAACCCCCCCCCAGAGCCTCCCCTAGAGCCCATTCAAAGAGCGGATGGAGGTGGGGGAGCTCCTCATTGGGGACCCCCAATCCACCCCATAGCCTGCCCCATAGCCGGCCCCACGGCCGTACCCAAGGAGGGCAGGGGGCAAGGGAACACCTCGCACTGGTTGCCCCAGCCCCACACCAGCCCCACACCTGCACCACAGCCATCCCATGGCCTGGCCCATAGCGCGCCCCGTAGCACTCCCCATAGCACACCCCATACCCCACCCCACAGCCCCCCCCACATCCCTCCCCACATCCCACCCCATACGTCACCCCACATCCCACCCTACATCCCACCCCACATCCCACCCCATACCACACCCCACATCCCACCCCATAGCCCACTCCATACCACACCCCACCCCACAGCGCCCCCCACATCCCACCCCACATCCCACCCCATACCACAGCCCACATCCCACTCCATAGCCCACTCCATACCACACCCCACCCCACAGCGCCCCCCACATCCCACCCCACATCCCTCCCAACATCCCACCCCATAGCCCACCCCATAGTGCACCCCACATCCCACCCCACATCCCACCCCCCATCCCCCCCACATCCCACCCCACAGCCCACCCCATACCACACCCCACAGCCCACCCCATAGCCCATCCCATACCACACCCCACAGCCCTCCCCACAGCGCCCCCCACAGCCCACCCCACATCCCTTCCCACATCCCACCCCATAGCCCACCCCATAGTGCACCCCACATCCCTCCCCACATCCCACCCCATACCCCACCGAATAGTGCACCCCATATCCCACCCCACATCCCACCCCACATCCCTCCCCACATCCCACCCCATAGAGCACCCCACATCCCACCCCACAGCCCACCGCACAGCCCGCCCCATAGCTCACCCCATAGTGCACCCCACATCCCACCCCATAGCTCACCCCATAGTGCACCCCACATCCCACCCCACATCCCACCCCATACCCCACCCCACATCCCACCCCATAGCGCCCCCCATGGCGCCCCCATCGTCCCGTCCGTACCCGAGGAGGGCAGGGGGCAGGGGAACACCTCGCACTGGTCCCCCCAGCCCCACACCTGCACCACAGCCATCCCATGGCCTGCCCCATAGCACACCCCATAGCGCCCCACATCCCACCCCACATCCCACCCCATAGCGCCCCCCATGGCGCCCCCATCGCCCCGTCCGTACCCGAGGAGGGCAGGGGGCAGGGGAACACCTCGCACTGGTCCCCCCAGCCGGCCCCCAGCGAGCAGCAGCACTCGCCCCGCGTCACGTTGGTGCCCAGCACCGAGTCGCAGAACACGGAGTCCTCCAGGCTCACGTAGCAGAGCTTGCGTGGGGCGGGGGGGGCCCGCACTGAGCACCCCCCGTCAGCACCGGCACCCATAGGGACCCATAGGGACCCATAGGAACCATAGAGACCCACAGGGACCCATAGGGACCCATAGGGACCCATAGGGACCATAGAGACCCATAGAGACACATAGAGACCCATAGAGACCCATAGGGACCCGCAGGGACCCATAGGGACCAGAGAGACCATAGAGACCCACAGGGACCCATAGAGACCCATAGAAACCCATAGAGACCCACAGGGACCCATAGAGACCCATAGAGACCCATAGGAACCATAGAGACCCACAGGGACCCATAGGGACCCACAGAGACCCATAGAGACCCACAGAGACCCATAGAGACCCACAGAGACCCATAGAGACCCATAGATATCCTATAGAGACCCAGAGAGACCCATAGAGACCCATAGAGACCCATAGATATCAAACCATACAGACCAGAGAGACCCAGAGAGACCCATAGAGACCCACAGAGACCCACAGGGACCCATAGAGACCCATAGGGACCCAGAGAGACCCACAGGGACCCATAGAGACCCATAGGGACCCAGAGAGACCCATAGAAACCCATAGAGACCCAGAGGGACCCAGAGAGACCCACAGGGACCCATAGAGACCCATAGAGACCATAGAGACCCACAGAGACCCATAGGGACCCACAGAGAACCAGAGAGACCCATAGAGACCATAGAAACCCATAGAAACCCATAGAGACCCATAGAGACCCCACAGAAACCCATAGAGACCCATAGAGACCATAGAGAACATAGATACCCATAGAGACCCAATAGAGACCCATAGAGGC